GTCACCTGCTTGATAACGGCAACAAACTGATCCAACGCATCATTACCATTCGTTGTGGATGCCATGTTGGATTTAGGTCTCGACAAAGCGGCTAAAGTCCAACCCGTATAATCGATATTTTGTTTTAGTTGTTTTATCATCGAATGAGAATTACGAAGTGGTGTTAACAGATGTTGCAAATCTAAACGAATTGCTCTAAATTATCAACACAACTATTCCCCAGTAATAACTCATGGGCAACTTCAACTTGATGTGCATGTCTTGCGCTTCATCATTCATCTAACGCTTCACAATATTTGTTGCTGCTCACAGCCATTCGCTCATCGCTGATCATCAAACTCGTAATTTCATAATAAAGAATAGGTAGGGAAGATCACCAAGAAGGTGGGAATATCTGCTCGCGGAAAGAAGAATTTTATTCAATTGAGGTTGAATGGTGGGGAATCGCTGAATTTGAATTGACCGAAATGAATTTTTCAAAATCAAAATTTTGTTAAATATTCCATCATTCATAAACAATTCAGTTGTTGATGGCCACATTCAGTCTTGGTGAAAAAAATAACGATCTCTGAGTAATACTATTTTAGAATATGTATGCGAAGACTTCAAGATTCTGCTTGGAGAATGAGTAAACATTAAGATTTCGATTCAACATTTGCTGATTGATTGTCAGAGAAATGAAACTAAACCATCTGCTTTGGGACTGCTTTTATCGACAGTGATACGTCCAGTGGCATGCAAGAACTCATCTAAACAAGCCGTAATCGTAACGACTGCTTCTTTGATATCACTTAAGTGTTGTTGTAAGACGTGAGGTTGACGCCAAGCTTTCGGTGCTGTGCACTGTAAATTCATTCATAAATATAAACTCCTACACTCATACAGACTCAATCAGATATAAACCACATTCTTGTCTGGTTCAGATCAAACAACTGCAATGTTACCAATATATCATTCACTTTCAAGTGGAGCATTTCCACATTCGACTGAGTTCTGTTTGCAGACGAAAGTTCTACTCGTAACCGAATGGTATACTACTATCACAGTTTTTTTGTGAATCAGCGGAAGAATATTTGACGGTTTACGAAAAAACACATCAATAAACCAAAATCAAATTTTCCAGGCTATTTGTTGAAACGTAGTAATCTCCATTACTATATTCTCGGAATTGATCCGAAATAATGATTCTGAAAAATACGAAAAAGTTAAAGAGTATCTCACCTCAGCCATT